ATTCGATACATCTCGGAAAACAGTTATCGCGCTCGTAAAAGTAAGCGGACCGTTAGCGATTGTTTCTCTATTACCTTCAATAATCTTGAGTGATGCCTTTCGTTCCGACAATTTACCAGCCGTTTCGCGTAATCCACCGCGGAGAAACTAAACAAATGCCATTTCGTTTAATCGTCTTTTATTTAAATTTTAAATTTTGTTATGTGCATTACCATACATTTTTACAAAAGATTAAACATAAAAATGGCGAAACTATATTAAAACGTGACTGCAGAAATGATTATCAAGAAAGCAACGAGGAAAAAAGGAGATGACTAATTACTTCTTATATACATATATGCAAATTTGCAATGTGCACAGTTTTCCTCGAAATGTTAGCAAAGTACTCATCGCTTGGTTTATTTGTTTTTACAGTATCTGTTAAAAGTGATTGCAGTAATTAGAGAAGTGATATACATATATATAGTGACCTCATATTTTAAATGCAGACGTAATTAAAATTTTGTTTGCCAATTTTTTTAGGATGCATAAAAGTGCATGTACTTATAACATTTTTAATTAAAATTATGTTATTAAAGAGGATTTAAAATTTCTAATCACATTGCAATCAAAATAATATTTTTCGATTGTTATGTGTACGTAGAAAATTAATTGTGCTATATGTTTGTAAAATAATCTAATAAAATTTTAATTTTTACTGTAAGATTCTTATGGATAGTGCGTTTAATTTGTATTAACAATTATTTAAGTCTTCTTTAAAAAGTACTTCGAATTATCTGTCTTCAAAAATTTATCTTATCTATTAGAAATCGACAGTAGTGTGGTAATGGATTCGGGCGATTGTATACAGGGTAAAAATATTGTTTCATAGATCAAATGTCCAAACCTCGGTAGGCCTCTCCATTGCTTGACTTTGTACGTATATATGTACACTATATACATGACTGTGGCACAGCCTATACAGTTAGGAAACTGGTTTTCGCCTCCTCTTGCGTCAAGCCGTACTACTCATATGATCGAAGTCATTTCGCACATTGGTACAGTTCTCATTGTATTATCTTTACATATAAATAGTGTCTCGTATCTACGAATGACGTATAGAGTTCTTAAATATCGTTTTATAATTTATGAAAGAGATGTCAGAATCGTTTTCCCATCATATTTTAGAGACGATTATTTTTAGTCATTAAGGCGCAATTTCTAATAATTACTCGCGTGTGAGAAAAGTCTAACTTTACCTATACTGTCTTTATTTAGCTTGATAACGTCAAAGAGCGAAATATACAAAATCAAGATACGAAATGTTAAAGTGGGGAAAGACGAAAATGAGATTTCCTTTTTTTTTTATATGAATCACATTTTAGCTCAAAACACGTTAATTTCATGATTTGTTCAACAGGATAGAAAATGCGATTAACGGTTTTGAGAGCATGGTATTTTAACACGAGATTGACCGGCTTTAATTATTCTCAAGTTAACCGCTGTCCAACTATTGAACTCGCGGTACCTTTCGGAAAGCGGTCCAGCTTAGTACTCGGGTAAAGCCTACTTAACGTAACGTGGTTGATTGCCGTGCTGTATACATATACGTATATATATATATTTACACGACATATGCACGAGTATCTAGTTACCGTTCCGACGAAGTAGATTTCTCCGGGCCGTTTGAGGAGACTACTCCAGACAATGTTGATATCGTGGCAACGCATTGCTTGACCCAAATTTATCGCGTCACTGAATTTGCGAACGTAATGCCTCTTCATTTACCTTAGCCCTATCTCCCATTGCCTTTGACCTGCATTCGCGCCTCCATTGTGCTTCGCATTTAACGCTAAATGCGATTTGATTCTGAATTCCGTTTGCCATATTCATACGAATGTCTTATTCATTGTAAACACGGAATGAGAATAAGGTGGCAATATATGCCACGCTAAGCGGGGAATTACCGCTAACGAAGTATTTGCACATTCATCCAATACGTATCCCATTACACTTAACTTGTATTAATAAATTAATAGTGATATCGTAATTACTATTTATAATTAAGTAATACGATATTAAAATATAAATAATTGTATATAGAGGTATTAAATTAATTACGGATGATTTGTGATTATGTGATTTATGTTTTATGTATTATTACAGAAACTATCTCAAGTTGCTCTTTTTTAAATTACCAAATTATTTAAAAAATTTAGTAATTAGATTATTGTTTGCAGTATTAATGAACATTACTAAAAAATTAGGATTAATATATGTACATACATACATCAAAATTAAATAATATTTATTTATAATTATCGTTCAAATAATGTCAGTTTATTGTTGCCAACATTTTGACTTGGCATAGTAATATTTCTTTTTTTCTCCCAAGATAAATTCATCAAAGTTTAACTTTTGGGTATCACGCTTATATTCATGTAACAGTCAAGCTTGTCACAAAATGTCAGAACCGTTTTACAATAAAACGGGAAAAACGGGGTGTGCTTCCAGACGAAAACACACTTTCTCCGAATTGCCGTGCCATATCCGAATACGTTTTGGAGCCAAGCCAGGACATTTTGAAAAAGAACCAGAACAGTAACTGTTGCGAGTTTTCTTCGCCAACGCGTTCCTTCTGTCGTTCGGTGAAGCACAAAAGGCTTTAAGGCAATGAATATATGCAGGTAGTGACACGAAAAGCTTCACCGAGACTTGGCCTAGAGCGTTTCCTGTGATATGCAATTGCGGCGCACACTATGTCAGAAGTACACATTCGCGGGAAGACAATGAATGAAGTACGAGATGCATGGCACATATATATGCAATATATTGACGCATAACATATATGGACCGTAAGCAAATATCAAAAGTTGTCGAAACAATTGGAAAATGGGCGAGTGAATTTTATGAGTGGAATTCAATTTTGTTAATTGACTCAATCGAAAAAGAAAATATTAATTATCTTTCGCAGAGACGATAATTATTTTAATGATATTTGAGGAATCAATTTATCCGTTTTATCAACAATTTTATTTTTCAAATATTTAAAATGCGAAAAAGCATGAAATGGAGAAAACATGAAATTGAATTTCTTGTCCATGAAAATTTCTCGATAGTCGGAATAGAATATCTTGAAGTCTCTTCAGAATGAAAACCACCAGACGTACATTTAATCAGCTTCGTCGTTCGCACCAAAGCGGATTGCGAGAAAACCAGGTCGGGGATCACAACTGGTAACAAAAAGAATGATACGATCCCAAGAAGGTCTACGTATTTGAAGAATTTAAGAATGCCCCAACATTCTATCGATCTTCGCGTTTGTTCTTTCAATCTTCGCGAGAATTTCGGCGATTTTTGTTAGGGTATTGCAAATTCTTTAAATATTCTGTCTTTATATTCCCTGCCGTTCTAAGTACGTTGAACTGGCGCTCTCTGTCAATTTTTATAGTCTGTGCCAGCGTGTAGTTCCAAATATAAACTCGTTGAATGCGTCCATGCTATCCATTCTCAGTCGCCGGCTGTGGCGGAGAGTTTATTTTCTAGTTTCGTGACACGTGCACTCGAATACCGTCCTCTTTCATGGAAGCTTTCGGTAGTCTCGGCGCGAGCTTTTCATTCAGTGTTCGAATGGTGCCGATATCAGTTTCCGAATATTGTTAACAAGTTGGCCAATCGATTGCAGCCAGTGTAAACGATGAATTGATTTGTTAGATTGCTAATTATGACTTTTCGAAATGCCGATGCATTAAATGTAGATGCAATATTGTTATCGTTTCTTTACTGCTCTTGTTAATAAAAAAAGTAGAATAATATTACTCTCTCATGTAGTAAAGAATGCATAAAAATACATAGAAGTAATATTGCGAAACAAATTTAATGGTCTAGATAGAGTTACAAAAACGAAATTTCGTATTCAAAATAGCGAGCAAATTATGACTTTTGAAATATTAAATTAGACACGTGAGACACATCATTTGCATTAAAAGATAAACACCTCTCTCGAGTTGTTTTACATCCATATATATGTATTCCTTTCGTAGGATGTGTATATTTATGATAAGATTACACGCTCTTATAAATAGAATGTAATTAAAAATAGATTTAAATCAATGCAGTCCAATGTCAATTAAAAAGATAAGCGTAGTTCGCTAAAAAGTGTCGGAATTTTCAAGTTGAGTGGAACACACAAAAATTTACGTTCAGTAAAAATTCTTTGTTCGATACAAAGTATGAGCATGTCGAAATTTTTTCGCAAACTAATTTTTTGCGGTTGCTCGTCGCGTTCGGGTTACGATAGCCGATCGATCGTTGTCGACGAATCGATTGTCGACGATCCTCCACCGAAATTCACGGAGCCCTCGAATTACGAGCTGGAGCCCGATGACGTGGCGAAGCATTTTGATCTGTCCACTATAAAATTCATCGACGACGAGGAAGCCGACGAAGATGCGGCCTGCACTAAGAACGGTAGCCGGCGATCGATTAGATTTTTCTTTTTTTATAGAAAAGTGGGTTGATACGCGGTAGGTCCGTAGTTATTCCCCGCTAAGGGATGATATAAATAAACCGATGGGCAAAAAGTTACGAGGACAATGTGGACTTTATGCGCGCGTGCACAGTTTTTCGTCGCGCGATGCGACGAATTCAGTCGTTCTCGCTATATTCTGAAAGAAATGACAGAACCTCAGATTACCGAGGACGGGAATAAAAATGTCCGCAACGTGGTTTCCTCCCGCGAAAGTAAAAGGAAAAATAAAAGGAAAGCACTGTCCGTGCGAGAGAGATATTAAATTAATGGAAACACGGTGGCTTCTCGCGCGGAGTAAATGAGAAACGAAGGGAATTTGTCAGGCTTACGAGAACGAGAGATGGGGATGCGCTTCACTTATTTCCATTCATCTCCACATTACACGGCCGCCGCTATATTTGACTATAGCCGCGGCCCGGTAATGGCTTCTTTGACGCGTGTTAAATGCGCGATAAATTTGCCTAATTAATTCTTCGTGAATTCCCGACAGAAGAGCTGGACGGGCCGAACGGGAGTGGGCGGATACGAGACGCCTGGGTTATCGCCGTCGAAAGGTAAGATAACTTGGTAAAGTGTAAGACGGGTGCACATCTTGAGCTCAACGTTATAGCGTATACATTGTATACGTGACATAATGTACACACGTATGCGAGACGAGATCTAGTGCCCCGCTTCTAGTAAATACATTCCTGTTGGGGCGGAATCGTGTATCGATTAAACGTCACATAAAAGGCGGCAGTGTCCAGCGGGCGAACGTGTTTTTGATCGAACGAGAGAATGCGTCATCTAAATGTCACGAGAATCGCTCGAAAGCAGCGTGCGTTCCAATCGAGCCGATAATGACAGCTCGTGATGAGATGTCGTAAAATCAGGGAATTCGCTCTCCCCGATATCTTCTCTCTCTTTTTTTTTATTCTTTAATATCGATCCAGTTGATGTTATCCTTTGTAGACGCGGTGATATTGCTATTAGCAGCGATATTAATAATACGATGGAATTAATTTTCTCAATTCATGTTACTTATTCTACCTGTTACTTATTCTATTATCTTTTTTCTCGAATGTAAAATCTGTTCTTACATTTAATCTGTTCGAAGACGCGATTTATCTCGATCATGGAAAGACTGAACCGTTCGATTGTACGACTCATCTGAGAAAATTGCGTCCATTAAATTGCTTCGGATTGCCTGATTAACTTCTGTGAAAGTACATTTAATGAGAACGGATAATCACTTGTCGCCGTCGCGAATAAGATTTCACAAAAGATTTCAGTAGCAATTTGCAAACACAGTCATATCGCGCGCGTTTGTCGAGAAAGGTAGAGAAGCGTCGAACGAAAACACGAAACTTTCGTGCGCGATAAGGATTGACTTCCGTGACTCACTTCGGTATCTCGGAAGTCTCGTTCGACTTCCCAAGGATAAGCGGCGATAGGCTTTTCAAGCGGACGTTTCTTCTGTTCGTAGGAACGCGAGGGAGAGGCTGCAGAAATTGACGGCACTCCAGAAGATCCAGCCGCGCGACATCCATAGCATTTTACATCAGCGGGTATGTATAAGAACGAGACACGTAATTAGCTAAATTGCCTGTTAATATCATGTTCGAACGAATCCATGGCCCCGCCGAGATACGATCTCGCGCACCTCTCACCGTGCCGAATAAAAAGAATCATCTTTTTACACAGATTGCGCCGAAGCCGATTTTTAGATTCATTTTTAGATCGTCGCGTCCAATTTTTCTCGTAGTAGGAAATTTTTTTAATCAATTGTTAAGTATGCCTGGCTGCTTTCCGTAGAAAAAAAAAATGTAAACGAAATGTTACCGTAGTGAATTCCGCCTGGTGTTTTTATATCGCGTTCGATTTTCTCTTATTTTTAGAGATCCCCACGTTAATTATTTAACGAAATAATATTTAAACTCGTTTAAAAATTTTTCTGGCTTAAAATATTTATGCGCGCGATGCCTTGTACAGCTGCCTTAAAATCAATTTCCGCCCGTGACCTTAATCTGCTGTTGACAAGAATGCCGCAATCCAAATGCAATCTGACAATCACGCGCGAGTAACAATCGGAGGTGCACGTTAAAAGACATCGCATGTTTTTCTCGCGTACGTCTTCCGACGATTCTTATCGCTACTCGTACATGGCGACGTATCCGCGTGCAAATTCCGCGTAGCGAGGACGGCGCGGCGCAACGCGTGCAAATGAATCGATCGGCCGCGAGCGAGCGGAGTCGTCACGGAGGCTGCTTATGAAATGTGGAATATGCCAAGTAAATGAGCGCGGAGTGAGAGGCGGACGGTGATTATGCGCGGCCTTGTTTACGGGAGTGTACGGGAGCAAAGCGTGTGCGTTTCTCGTTGCATCGCGTTGCACGAGTCGCTCGCTTGCGCCTTCGCGACCATCCGAAGCCCTTGGCACTTCGATTACGCAATAATGAGTTTCGCCGACACCCTCGTGATTTTAGCCAGAGGCGTTACGTCGCCATTGTCGTGGGGAAATTACGCGGAAAGAGTAATATGCGCTGAGAAGAAATAGAGAAGGAATTCCTCGCCCTCGAGCGTATTACCGTAAGCGCGCGCGACAATGCGCTCGTCGCGGGAGTAAAGTTGTCCGAGCTGTATTGATACCCGACGCTTTCGCTGAGTTGGTAACCGAGCGACAAATATTGGTGCCATCCGACACTTCACTCGAAAGTATCGTACTTTTGTGCAGTGACGGGAACCGATATAATCCCAACGCTACAGACGCGTGAAAATTCTTTCAAGTTTGTCTGACAGATTTTTTCCTATTTTAACATTTTTGTATTTATATTATCGAGAATAAAACAAAGATCACATCCATAAATTGTTAAATAAATAGTTAAAGAGATGAAAGTAATTCTCTATTACTTCTGCACGACAGATTTTTTTTAGTTCTAAAATAGAGACTTATACCGTTTATTGAAGCTGACTCGAATCTCTCCGAGAACGATTAATAATGTCATAATTCTGCCTCACATTCATGGTTATAATTCACATCCAAATACATTTCCGGTCGAATATGAGTTGGTGAAAATTGACTTTATTCACTCTTGCATTTAAACCTACTTCGATCGAGAACTATTACATTAGTGAAAGTTCAATTTCAACTAACGTTTATGGAAATGGCTCATATTATAGAAATAACTTTTGTAATGTTGTATCATAATGTTATATTTTTACAATTATAATTATAAGAATTTCTTTTTTTATCTTTCTCAGAAAATACTCATCGAATTAACAATCATTTGGAAACTAGTTCGTCTGAGAAAAGTTTCGCGCATTGTTTGTTATTAACCGCGTTCTGACCGAGATATTTTAAGGTCGCATGCGGGATCGTTTCGCGTGATCGCGATACGGCATGCGGGTTAAAATCTCGCGTAAGCAGGCACGCATCAGGTTCTCGCATATCGCGTGAAACACATCTCGGAACGGAAACCGTACGAGAATGTCGTAACACAACCGTTAACGAGTTTTCTTGATATTACGGTTCGTATCATTCTCAGCATGATTAGTCGTATCGCTATCAACAATGTGACGTTACTCCCTAGCTCTTTCTATATCAGTACGTAATTCGAATAAGTAGAAGGTGGGCTAAGGGACCTCCGGTTAATTGTCGACGATGGTGGTGTCATTTGGGAAATTGTCTGGTCATTTTGCCACGTCAGTTTTTTTCACAACATTGATGTTGGAATGTATTAAGATATATGAACAAGATGCTTAAGACATTTCAGATTGATGAGATTTTCTCTAAATTGCAATGTCGGACGTCTACACATAATCTCTATCTAGACAATATACGATATAACAGCACTTCAAAATTATAACTCAACTTTCTATTGCTATAAGTAGACGAAATTTTAGTGATATAAGAAATGATGTGTAATTTATAATATTTATAATATTTATAATTTATAATATTTGAATGAAAAAAAGTAAACTCTGGAAGATCATTTACATATTATTTTTCAAATTATTTTATTTTTAAAGATATTTTTTCTAACAAAACGAAACTAAACGGAACGAAAGTTCGCACTGCTATCATCATATATTTGAAGAAAAAATATTTTCAAAAGAGAGAAAGAATCGTTAGCATTTTTTTTCAGAACGATATCAAATCGTTAGCTACTCACTAAATATGGGTGAATATGAGGATGTCGGATTTTACTCAATAATGTATTGTATGATGTTGACGAAATTATTGTTATTACATTTTATATGAATTAGTTTATTAGAGAATTAAGTTCTTTAGAATTAATATAAAACGACACAAGCGAGTTGCGAATTTATACGTTACGCGTTGGAGACAGAGATAAACACAGGGATCGTATTTTGCCCAGAAATGCGGAAGCACGTGCGATAAAAATAAAGTGAAACTGTATAATCAGTCATTTTTTATAAAACTAAATTGAATTCTACATCGTACTACCACAGCATGATTGTGACAACTCTTTATACTATCAAATTTTCAATCATTGTAACCAAATAAAAAAATTGCACTTACGCTAGAATTTATTGTTTGTCATAGCTTTTTTGCAAAAAAATTTGCATTCAGCATTTGATATGATATTACTGGAATAAAGGCGTCATTGCATTGTTAGTTCATTTCTAGTTCAATTTTATAAAAGAGAATAAAATTCAGTGAGAATCACATAAATATATTACAGATCACTTTTCGTTACTGTTCCAGACAATAAATTCGGTAGCGTCCACGAGCGAAGACTCCACTTCAAAAGACGTATCGAATGGCCAAATTACGGTTACTTTGGCGGACAAGTAAGTCATTTTTCTTCTTTTTATATCGTTACTAAACTTTGTTATAGACAAGAGAGAGAGAGAGAAAGAGAGAGACTCTCTCTCTCTCTCTCTCTCTCTCTCTCTCTCTTTCTCTCGCTATTTCTTAATAATGAGAATAAAACTTGGTGGAACTTCTCATAAAAAAATTTTCACTCTTAAATTTACACTTAATGTCAGAATTCTCGGGGTCACAGGTGCCTCAGGATCGATTAAAAACAATTTGTGTCATGGATGCAGTAGAACGACGTCGCTCCACAGGCGCAATACTTGTAATTAATTCCGAAGACTTAATATCCCCTGGGATGTTCCTGTCAAAGCATAATAAACCAATGTCTGTGTAGTAAGCGAGAAAATATATGCGGCGCCTATAGGAGGCATCGTAACCGACCGGATGTGACAAATTGCGATTGTCGTGATTGATATCCTTTCACAATGTCGATACGTTCGCGCGGCCCATTTTTGTTTTGTACAATAGGGAAAGTCGGAGAATTTCCAATTTTATAGTTATTACTTATTGGCGACTGGTTGATTAATTTGATTGTCATAGATTAATTAATCCATCCTTGTCTTAATTGTTTCAGGGAATTGGAGACGAATTCTTTCTCCACCAAACTTAGCAACGGTACGATTCCCAAGGGATTAGGAAAAGAGGCGGACATCCGAGTGGAAAACACCTCGCAAGAACGGAAGGACGCTTTGGAAAAGCAACACAGCTGCGAAGAGGCGAACCTCTTGGTAATGTAAACTTACAGCTTACTTTAGAAGTGTAGAAATACAAGAGCAAAAATAATATTTGGGTAATTTATTCTTTAAAAGACTGTAATATACATGTATAAACAAATTCAGTATTTAATTAGAGAATAATTATTAAAGAGATGTTAATTTTTAAATATCCGTAATATCTCCGCGTGTAACATTAAAATGAAATGATTGTATACATATAACATGATTAAATTTTCACAATGAATTTTGAAACGTAAACAATTGGGAAAGTATACATAATATATAAGTATACATAATATATTAATCAGCAGATATATGTATTTAATTATATTACAACTGTTGATTTTTCCCTCACATTTTTTTCCCAACATTACGTTATGTCGACACTAATCGCTTGTCGCTTGCATAAGCAACATCCGTTGGATTTCTTAAGTAATTATTAAACAGTTTCCGGAATAGTAAATCGCCATCGGTAATTTATCACGCTTAATTGCCAACATTAGGCACGTTAAGTGGGAGTCTTCACGAGGCTACTGTTATTTATTGTTCCGTAAAATGTTTCTCCGAATTAATCGCCGATCAACAATCACAGTATCTTTCTTTACAAATATTTTCTCATATACGTTTATGCTAAATGAGAATTCTATTTGTTAAACAATTTCAATACGTTTTAATACATCAACAATCAATTATGGATATTTATGTATTCAATCAACCGGGTATGCATAGATCAACCGGATTATCAAATTGCGCATTTTGCTGTTTTGCTTCAAATTAATCCTTCATCAGCAACTGAAGTCTTTAAAGATCACCATCGATATTTTGATTGTGTATTTTAGATAAATCTATAAAAAATAAGTAAATTACAATCTGAATTTTATCCAAATGATGATAAAAAGCTGATGAAATCTTCAACAAGTCCCAAGGAGAACAAGAAAGTCAAAATAATGTCATATTGATTGAATCATGTTAAAAAAATGACATAAGTTCAGTCAATATGATATCATTGACGTTATTTTAATTTTCTTGTTTTTCTTGGAGTTATCGGAATTTTATCAAATTTTTATATAATCTAGAACAATAAAAAATTGATCTGTTTCTCGAAGATCCCTATTGCTGATGAAAGAGTTAAAATTCATGTTGCGACAACATGAATTTTTATTTCAGAAATATAGCAAAATTTTTATTAGAGATAGCTAAGGTTAACTAAACGTTCGAGCAAGCTTAGGGTGAAATCCGCTAACAGATCGAAGAGTCTCTAGATAAAAGATGTGATAAATTGTACGGATGTTCCGTGTGTCAATTCACAAAGACATAAACTTGCGTCCGTTTGCCCGACAGCAACCGGTACAGAGCGGAAGAATCGGGGAACGACGCTCGAGCAGCCCTTTCCAAAATGGTCGGACGGAAGTGCTGATTGGCGAACCGGAGGGTGGCCCGAGGTCGCCGCGGGGATCGACGTCTTCGGCGGTGAACGACGGCAATTTCCTGAATCCACCGGACGAGCGAGACGAACCAATTTGCAGGTAAGTACATTGGACTGTAAGCACGATCGGGGGCGAACTTTTATGCCTCCGTGTCCTCCAGATCGTCAGATCGACTTCTCGTCGTTGTAGCCACCGTCCTTTACGTTCCATCGGGTCATCCTGTAGCGTTTGCATACGGCGTTATTCGTCGCTTAATTCACTAAACGATGGCCATCCCGTTCGTCTTTATAGCCTGAGATAAAAGTTTTTATCGACCGTTCTCGAAACCGCTCGTTAATATTATCGTTACTTATTCGACCGCATAATTGATCATGATTCAATAGAATGATCGAGATATAATTCAATGCGGGCGAGTCCTTCTTAATAGTTATTTCGAGAAATCACTTTTCTAATCGTGATTTGCGATTTCAACGTCTATTCTAAAGTACGTCTCTCTTCGAAATGATTGTCTAATGAAGAGAGTGGGGTTCAATGAATTACTTGGATCTATATTGAATTACTCGTGGATCCCCGCGTTCTCTGCTTTACCGCGATAGCGAAACATAAATTCAGCCGATGTCCGTTGGATGTCGCCATCAACGTACTTGGAGTGCGATCTTTTAAAATTCCTAGAGGGATGACTGACAATGAGATCCGCACACATATTTGGATTTAGCCAACTCCATATACTGCTAACATTCATACATTTATATACATCCACATACACAGTTTTATAAACGATAGCAATAAACATTTGTGGAAAAGAAGAAGCAAGGTGCAATTTTATTTGAGAACACTAAAAAGAATAAGAACAAGACTGACAAGATATATATGTGCAGATGGAGCAAGATAGCTCATAGTAGGACAGCGGGAAGTCTAGAACTCATTTTTTCATTATATTCCTTAATTAAAACCGGTTATGAGTCTCAGAAAAGTTACGAGTTAAGAATAACGCGAGAAAAAAGAATGTGACACAGTTTTAGCACCGGATCGTTTTTATTTTGCAATGCGATATTTCTCGACGCTGCATCTAATGCCGCTTATTCTTGTCAGTTGTCGTATTAGCATAACGACTTTATTAAACATTGTTACATAAAATTATTGTGTGAAATATATACATTAAATCTCAATATATACGTTGGAATCTCAATATATTATGTGTGAAATATATACATTAAAATCTCACGTTACTTAGACGATTGAATTTTTTAAACACAACTCTATTCCAGCTATAAAACATTTCTCTAAATCATTGGCTTCAATTTTAATTCACAATTTAAATAATTTTAAATTCACTCCGAAATAAAATTAGTGTTCTACATTTCTATATTAGAAGAGGATTTTTTAAGCGAATTCATTTTACACATCGCGTTCCGCGCTCGTAATAACATTCAATTCCGAGGTATTGCGAAGAAGTACGTTTAACTCGATGTAAAAATGCGCGAGCGATTATCCGACCTGCGATCAACTATACGGACAAGTGGGCTCTAATCTGAAATGCGCTTTAGAAGAGTGCGATCATAGTGGAATCGATTCCGCGGAGAGAGTCGCATCTCCGGTCGGTCGGTAGATCAAATATGCCTCTCTCACACTCTCTCTCTCTCTCTCTCTTTCTCTCGCAGATAGAGATGGTCTGCTGGAATCTGCGGCGCGACTCAAGCACTTGGAAGTGCAGGCTGCCAGGCTCACTCGACGGAGTCACTTCGCCGGTATTTCACGCTCGCGACACACCCACCTGAGCCGGTGTGAGTGCAGCCTAAACAATGCGTTTTCCAGCTCCTCGGTATGCAGCTCGACAGAGCTACCCGCTGATCCCTCTTTCTCTCTTCTTTTCTACCTCCGCTGAATTTCGCGCTCTTCCTCCTTCCCTCTTCTTTTTGTCTCTTTTCCTTTGCAGCCTCTCACTTTCTCTCTTCTCCTCTTTCTCTCCTCTCCTTCGTGCATTCTAACGTGACACGAAATGGATACACGGCGGAGGATAAGGCTCACGCGGAGAGGAAAGAGAGATTTCTTTTAAGTGCGACGGCTCGGCACGAGTAGCTGGTACTCTCAGTGCTCGTACTCGTATACAAGCTTCTCTAATTTTACAACGAACGACGAAATTTCGTTCTATCGTACCTACCGACTTCTTTTTTCACTTCCACGATTAATGCATCCTCTTTGTGTGAGAAGAGTGTATTATCTCGCGCGCTCAATGCTTTAGGAGTCATTTTGCTAAGGGCGATAAGAGTTCGTCTTCTTATTCATTTTGTTATTCATCTTCTTGTTCTCCTTCTTTCACTTTTTCATGCTTTCCTCGGATGTGGACTCTCTCGAAATGTAATCTTTTGCAAGTTCCGCCGCATGACCGGTTCCCGTTGTTTCGCGCTCTCTCATAACTGCCCGCATTGTCCGCTTTTAATTCTCTAACTTAATAAACTGAACCCGTCGACCGTCCGTCGAGGTTTGTTCTCGGCTCATTGTCAGACAGTTAATACTTTACGACACAGTACGCGTCGGAGCGGATGATGCGTCGGGAGAAAGATAGACAATAATTAACACCATGGGTTATTAACGATATGAGAAAAGTTTAACGGTGTAATAATGAAACACGTTGACGGACCCATTCTAAACGAGCGGAACGCCGTCAATTTATTCGTGACCTTGCGCCCAGATGCATCATATCGCTCAGGTGCGAATGAATGTGCCCTATTGACACGGGGTACTTTTAACGAGAGGCCGCTTCGGTGAATGGTTCGAAAATAAACTCGTAAAATGTCCACCGATCTCGTAAGCTAGTCTGCAATCCTATGTGAAGAGTCTACCATCGCTCTTCTTTGGAAAGATGAGATCGCGATCGGGGCCCTCCCCCGCTCCTGTCCCGAGTGCCCTAGTTTCCCTGCTTTAAAGCAAGATGCATCTCATGCGAGACACGTCCTAAAAGCCCGTAGTTATTGCGGCTGACGCATTTTTTGGCACGCGTACAGAATTCCATTTGCGGAAGCCAGTTTTTGCATTAGTATACATTGCAACGACCCAAATGCAATCCTCGCGCTTTTTCCGAAGTCTTTTTTAACCATGCAATCGATATCCTCGGAAAATATAATATTTTTTGATATTTCCGACAAGACCTTATCGCTCGTTTAACGCTGTCAAAAATGCTTAATGATAAAAAATGAAAAAAAAAACAGGAGTATAAAAAACTTGCGGTGCGCTTCCTTAAATTTACCAAACAAATAATTCCTTTTAGCGATAAATACTGTATGTACAGCCTCATACTTCGTAATTTTATGTCCGTTATCCATATCCAAGTCCGATATCGATTCGCTCGTTCGTAATCGATATCGTCCGTGCCCGGCAACTGCGTTTATGTTTATGCGCGTCCGGTTGGAACGGTGACATTTTTTCACGTCGTAGTAGCAATTGTATTGAACAGCTCACAATCAACGATTGCCTTAAAAGAACGAATGTATCATGATCTATAAAGTCACCTCCGTCGACGTATTGCATTAAATCAGAATACATCGTACACCCATTAATTAGAATTATATACAATTATTTATATCTCGTTTTTGGAAGTAAATAGACAATATTATAAAAATTGCATCTTTTCCATGTATTAATTAAAACTGAACATCAATTTTATTTACATCTCGTTTTTGGAAGTAGATAGAAATATTCTAAAAAATTGACGTACATTAATTAAACATCAATTGTATTTATATCTCGTTTTTAGAAATAGGTAGAAAGTATTCTTATCTTAATATTTTAATTTTAATACGGCTTTAAAAATTGCAAATAGAACCATATTTTAATAACTTTATCACAGCATCATAATTTCTGATTAATTTGTGAAATGTCGACTACATAAAATTTTTATTGAGAATGCTCTGTCAGCTTCAAAAATCTACCATTCCCGCATTAATAATCACTGAAAAAAATTAATTAAGTAAAAAAATTAATTTAAAACAATGATTAGCCGTAAGCATTATAAGTTCGACAATCTGATCGTAGATCCGCACGCGAAAATCTTCGCGAACGGCGTGTCCGCAAGTGTTTTTCCGCGTGGCAAGAAAGGATGACAATCTGTGCGCGTACGTGCGAGACGCGCGGCCGATTTGCACGACGTAAAGCAGGAGAAAGAGGCGAGCAAATTCGAAGCGCATTCCCGTGATTGAACGTGTTCCTACTGCCGGCGCGACTGTAGCCAGAGCTATAGTACATCTCGTTACAGCGTGCGCGCGTTCTCTACAGTATTGCGGCCCGATGTGTGTGACACAGCCACGGAATACCGATTGCTCATTCTCCCATGGCGTTTCCTGTTCCGACCACGTATATCCCGCTTTCAAAATAAAAAAAAAACAAGAAGAGAAAATACATACATACGCGCAGAAGGAGGAAGAGGATAGCGATGCGCGGATGGACGAACTGTCGCGGGAAGGTGGAACACGAGAGAAGAGAGGATCGACCGGGGGGCGATAGGGAGGAGGATATAGGTGGTGCAACGTGGATGTGACGAGGATCGGCGACGTTGTGTATATGTACTGACGACACGCCTGCTGCCCATTGTTCACGTCTAACACATTATGCGCATCATTCATGGCCTTTTACGCCGAGCCTCGCGTCAAGTTCATACTAATTCTCATGGGCTAATCTAGAGTCAGACTGATTCCGTACGAAGGAAGATTTTGAAAGACCGAGCTCTTGACTTCGTACAGAGAATAGCCTCACATCCCTGTTGACAGATGTTGTAGAAGTAGATTCTTCAAGAGCTTTAGTTTAACGAAACACACATCACAATAGCTTAGGTTATAAGTGAATGACGTACTTCTTCTTAATTGTTAATATTTGAAGTAAATACGGCATACGATATTCTTGATTTGAATTTAAAATGGATTTTATTAACGGATTTTTTAACGGAACCTCAATTTTGTATTTAATTACTAAGATATTTAATTAATATCGAACAGCGATAATTCTTTTGATTAAATATTTGAAATGAAAAAACTAATTGATAAACGAATTACAAAATTTTTAGAATTTTTTTAAAAATAAATTTTTCGAGAAATAATGCTCATTTA